TTCTCTGATTGACTTATTTCGCTCAGTATAATACCCTCCAGTTCCATCCACGTCGTTGCAAATGGACATCATTAGTTTTTGATGTAGTGATCCACGATTCATTGTTTTCGTGTAAAACCCAGTGCTCCATGCAGTACGTGCCCTCCTTAATACCCATCACTGGGCTAACCCATCCTCCCACCCTATTATTAATGTTTCTAAATCTTTATTTTAAAAATAATTTTTTGCCCTATATTTTTGCTGTATTCTGTCATGCTATTAAAGTGAAGCATGATTTCTTAGTCATCTTTCATTTTGCTTTAATGATATTAAGTGCCAAATTACTAAATAAACATAAACTTTCAAAAGTATATTTTCAGGGTTAAATAGGGCTTTACATCTTTGGAAGAGTCATTCACTTCCTAATTATAATTCACTGGGGGCACTAACAGTCTTCTCACATCATTTTTATTGTTTTAAATTCAATGACTATTTCATGCAAAATTTACTTTTGCAAAGGCAAAGATTTTGTGCAAATTCTTCAAGGCAAAGGGAAAAGAAGGTCCAGACAACAGTTTATATTTGAAAAAACAAAGAAACCACCTTTTTCCAAAGTATACATTTTCTTAATAAAATGGTATCTATTAATACATTATTTTAATGTAAAGTCACAGAGGTCAAACTATTAACTCGAGTATAGAGAAAGGCTTTTCAGAAATTAACAAATTGTAGAATTAGGATTACTATTAGAGATTCATCAACTGATGTTAAATATAGAACAACTGGCACCTGTAAAGGTCTATAAATACTAGAGGAGATAGCAAGTGCAGATACAACTTTGCCCTCTGTGGTTATCTTTAACACAATGATAAACTTCTCCAGAAGGATTTAAGGATCTTTTATTCCAGAGGTAGCTTGGTGTGCTATACAAGCTGGTGAAACATATTTTATTTCAAGATTATCCTCATGCTTTGCTATTTACTGCGTATCGGTGTTCCCTACTTTTTGATCCAATGAGAAGGAAAATACTTTGCCATAACGTGACAGATAGCTCTCTTTCAAAATATGTGAAATAGAAATTCAAAGGTTTTAAAATATAAAGATAATCAACTAATATGAATAGTTATTTCCAGATTTCCATTTTAATCTAAAATTAACTTTCTCTCAGTGAAAAGTAAGTTGCAATTAGTAGCTTTAAGATCCAACCGTCTATCTGCTTACAGGGTGAAATGTTAGAAATCTGTGTCTGCATAGCTACTTCACAAATATGGACAAAAATTTATATTTGTGTCAAAGATGAAGTGACAATTTTCTCACTGATGTTATATTGAATAAAGTTGAGAACTTGAGCCATTAAAATATACTCTGTTCTCCCCATTGAACCCAGTAAAGCTCTTTCAGTCAGAATGAAATTAAAATGTATGCATTTTCATTTTTTTCTGCTTTGGCCCTTATTTTATTTTATTCATCTTTCCCCAGTAAGCATTAGGAGAGTGAAACCATCCCTCAGTACTCCTCATTTAAAGATACTTGCTTAAGGGACTTAAGCTTGTATTTATTCGTAAATGGCCATAAATGCCAATAATAGATAGAGAACTTTATTTGCATAAGTTTAAGAAAATAAGCATGGTATTTATTAATAAAATACACATATTCTCTCAAATACCACATAATATGTTAAACTATCGCCACTTTTTAAAGAGAGAAATGATTATTTTATTACTATGTTAATAGTTTAAATCTCAGCTGAGCACTAAAAATATTTTAGAAATGTAATGTAAATAATAGCATAGAGTAATGTAAAATAATAGCATAGAAAAGGACAGGTCAGTCCTTGATGTTGACAAGTCATGCCTTCATGGCTACTTTTTATGATTACTGTCATTATTTTGAACCATCAAAGTTTTAAATCTATAGGAAATATACAGAGAATATTTGACTTGAGCGAATTGAGATAACAATCCTAGTCATTCCACTGTTTTGGAAAGGGGATAGAGAGATGTAAATATCCTTAATTAACAGTGATATGGAATTGGCCATTGGACCTTATCAGGACAAAAATACAAAAAAAAACTAATCATAGAGCAATAGGACTCAACTGGCTACCCATTCTACCTTATTAGCGAAATGTGGTGGATTATGCAAGGCTTGCCACACAGGGAAATAACTTCTATGGAATGTGACAACTCTATTACACCTAATATAGTCTATGTGGAATGTGTCAACTCCACTGTATCTAAATGTAAGTAAGGTCATTAGTTTATAAAAGGCTCTAGCCTTTAAATCATCACAAGTAAATTTATACAATGAGAAGGCCAAGTTTAGAAATTGAAAGAAACCCTTTTAGAATTATCCAATGAGCCAATAAAAATCTCCCTGAGCTGTACATATTTTTTAATGTAGATTGGAAAGAAGATCCTTATTGATTAATTATTGTTTCTTAATAAGAACTGCACATGGGAATCTATCTCTTTCTCTGACTATGCATAACTGTACATACGTAGCTATTAATTGAGAGAAAATGATTAAAACTTTCTAAGATTATTTGTGCATCATTGCTGCCTCTTGCTTTGCCATTTCGAAGGAAAGTGGTAAGTAGCCCGTGTTTGTGGTTCCAGTGCACACGCACCTTTGCTCCCAGCTCATTATAATGCAATTTCAAAGCCGTGACTCTTTCATCAAGCTCTTTAGGGTTTTCCGTCTGCTTCTTCTGTACAATCTGACGTCCAGTTTTTATTACCATTTCCACTTCAGACTTCACTTCACTCAGACTTTTATACAAGTTCTAAGTTCAAACATAAAACAAAACACAATAATAAGCAATAGTGTCTGAATTACACTATAACAGTGAATAAAAAGAAAGACAAGTAGAGATCACATTAATTGGCATTCCATGTTTACAGTTTTAATGGAGTAGCATTTTGCAGCTATGACCAATATCTAGCTTTTGCATTGTCTGTTGATTTAATGTTTCTATTTGCAATTATATAAAGACATGCATAAATGAGTATATTTAGTTTTACAATCCAAGTTGATAATGATTATTCCTAAAAGTTATATGATTTCTATTTCAAATGTTATATAATACTAGCTGTGAATTTGGAAAAATTCATTTACCCTTTCATCAGGTATTTATTGAGAGCCTAGTACAGTAGACACTACTGGATTCCCTAGACAATCAGTGGTGGCTAAGACAGACACATTCATTGCTGTTCTCACATATTTTAGTGGGAATAAAACATCTAAATTTCCAGATCATAATTTCAACATATATTAAGTCATATACAAGGAAGGAAGGTAATTTAAATATGTTAATTACATTATACTAATGTATTTTTTTAGTGGGGCTGATTAATTCAATATAGACAGACACAAAAATATTATTTAAAAACTTACATATATATCACAACCCTAAAGAACACATGTATTACTTCACAAAAGTACACTGCTTTAACAAAGCCTCATGAAACAGGTGTCACCACACAAAGTATTTTCCTGGAAAGATATGGGTATGTATGAATGCGTGCATGCAAACACATATGTATATGTATATATATGTAGACAGGCATATATAATACTTTACATTGTTGCTTTAATTTTTTCAGTGGTAATTGTGAACAACTACCCTTTTTATTGGTACTAAGAAATAAAGTTACTAGTAGGTGATTGCATCTTCTTTGGCATTAGAACAAAACTTTGGTTTATTTTCTCTTCTCAGTTTAAAATCAATGCCCAAAAACACTTTTTTGTAAAGGCTGAGCAAATATCTTACTCATTAAAGCTACGTACATAATCTATTTCCATCTTGATCCCTTCTTTGATGGTTGTTTTGTGTTAATATTCCTTTACTAATAATTTTGGGTTCTTGCCTGAGCTTTCCAGATGATTTTTTTTATTTCATTTTACTTTTATCTTAGAAATTACACATGTATCTTGGTATGTAGAAACATTCAATCAGTAACTGTATGGAGGGAATCAACTGTGTGAATTTTGGAATCAGAGATATTTTCTAATGATTTACTCTTTAAACATTAAAAACAAAAATCTCCGTGATTTACCCTTATGTTGAAAGTTCAAAGTACCATTAGTACCAAAGTACCAAAGCCATTAACACCAAATCATTCAGTATGCAGAGGAAGTATCACTGAGGGAGGGGAGTATCTTTTATATTTATTTGCGTTCCTGTTGGGAAGACCGTTTTTTTAAAGACTTTATTTATTTATTTGACAGAGAGAGACACAGCGAGAGAGGGAACACAAGTAGGGGGAGTGGGAGAGGGGGAAGCAGGCTTCCCCGCTGAGCAGGGAGCCCGATGCGGGGCTCGATCCCAGGACCCTGGGATCATGACCTGAGCCGAAGGCAGACGCTTAATGACTGAGCCACCCAGGCGCCCCAAGACTTTTTTTAATTAAACAAAAATTTCTTGAAAAAGGTAATAATTACAGTGTATGCAATAGGGCATCTTAAGTAATTTAAAAATATATAAACATTGTAAAGAAAAGATATCCTTCCAGAAGAACTACTTGAATTGCTCCTGACATTTAAACCAGAACCCCAACCAAACTGAGCAAGAACTTGAAAATGTTTCCCTGTAAAGGGTCAGGGCACAGTCACAGCTGGTTGCAGGGAGGGTTGTTTTCACCTCATCTTTACTAGCAGACCAGTTTTCTGATGTACCGTTAGAGACCTGATCATAGAAGGGAACAGCTGTCCCTTTGGGAGTATATTTAATCATGATGGTAGTATACTGGGGTCATTTTGATTTCGATTATTTTTGCATAGTTTAAGAGGAGATAGCTTCCTACAAATCCCTAATGTTGTTCATCTAATATCAGCTAATAATTATACATTACAGTGTTCGAATTTTCTTTTTCAGGGTGGGAATATTTATAATAACAAGGCCACTAAAATGCAGCCTGTGTTATGAAGTAATGTCACTGCATAAAAAAATTCCATAATTTCACAAAGGAATACACATATCTACAAAGTTTGTGCTAAAAGATACTTCCCCACTCACAATAATATGACTGAAATGCATCTAAAGAGTTTCTTTTAAATTTATGTTATGGAGTAAAAGCAGAAACAATACGTAAAACACAAAGTACTAACTAGATAACCTTTTTTTACCTTTAAAGTTAATAATATTCAGTGCTTTTATTTTACGTGAATTTCTACTCTCAGCCCATAGCAAACAAAGAGTTATAATAACAGCTGTATTACTCTAGTAGATAATTCAGCCTCATGTTGTCAGAGGCGTCATCTGACTGGGCGAATTTCCAGTAATTGCAACAAAGGACACAGCTCAAGATCCCACAATCCTGTGAAGATTTATGCTGCAGGCTAATCATATGCCTTCCATGTCTTTTTATTCTGTCTTTGAGGTCTGGTGGCATTTCAGTGCATGTCCAGCACTGATGTTGAATGGAAAGCTACCAGGGTTTGGAGGAAGAGCTCCATATTCAAAGTACTGTAAGAATTAAACAGAGGGACTTCCTCTTATATTCTGCATAGTCCTTCAAGAATTACAGATTCAGGGGCGCCTGGGTGGCTCAGTCGTTAAGCGTCTGCCTTCGGCTCAGGTCATGATCCCAGGGTCCTGGGATCGAGCCCCGCATCGGGCTCCTTGCTCAGCAGGAAGCCTGCTTCTCCCTCTCCCACTCCCCCTGCTTGTGTTCCCTCTCTCGCTGTGTCTCTCTCTGTCAAATAAATAAATAAAATCTTTAAAAAAAAAAAAAAGAATTACAGATTCAAAAAAGACACCTATAGAGGATGTATTCAAAGGCTACTATTTCAGTAAAAGTTCTTGTCTCTCAACACACCTGTGCTAACTTTTGTTCTTAATCTTAAAATTACATATTATTAATTATTATAGTTATCCGAAAACAATCTTCTATTAAAAGGAAGATCATCATCACATACCTCTTTTTTTTTTCACATACTGCTTAATAAGGAAAGGCAAGGAGTAGCTGTGTATTTGTCCCAGAAATACGTACCACACAATGATTTAACTGTGACTGTACTACTTCCTGTTCCACACTCTTCGTTTCCAACGCAGGCAAATGCATCTTCACTTCATCTAAAATCATCTTACTTTCCTGTAGACGCTGCTCAAAATTGGCTGGCTTCTGGAATAATCGAAACTTCATGGACACATCTTGCAATTTTTTCTGTAAAGACAATGTAAGAAAGCACCTGTATAATTTCACATTCCAAACAACAAGCAGTCATATTTTTGTTAATAGATTTTTCTTTATTCCTGAAGATATACAAGATTAAAAAACGTAAAGCATTTTTTTTCTACTTGTCTAGCACAAAGAATGCATACATTTGGGAGAATTCAGTAGTTGTTCTGAATGTGATACTAAATAAAAGGTAATTTATTAACTTATTTTATCCTTAAGATGTACAACCCCCCCAAGATCTATATTATTTATATATCATATTGTAGTTTTGAAATAATGCCCTTAATACCAATTTTTTCTAATGACCAAGTTGTCTAATATAGACTATGTTTTAATACACAACTAAAATAAGTTCCTTAGTTTATGCAAGGATCTTTACCTGTGCCACATCAATTTGGGACAGTACCCTTTGGGCAGTCTCCTTTCCCTGGTTATGTTTCTTCATTTCTTCTAAACTGATCTCATGACTTGTCAAATCCGATTGGATTTTCTGTTGGGAGGACAGCATTATTAGTCAGCATGCTCTGCAGGTTATTGCAAAGAATAACTCACTTGCCAAGAAGATGAAATTCAGGAACTCTCTTAAAGCATTATTACAATGTAGCCTCCTTTAAAATGACTATAGTTTTTCTTTTTTTACTTAGCAAAAGTTATCAAAAATGAAATAGCTTATTTCTCTCCTATTTGGGTTATTACAAAAAAGAAATTATCCTTTTGAGTCAGTGATAATGCATAGCTATTTCAGATATTTTCAGAAGGAAATATTTGTTTATATCTAATATGAACGACTGATATTTTTTTATCTTTGAATTTACACTCAAATCTGACTAAAGACATATATATCAAACCTAACTGTGACAGGATAAGATATAATGAGAAAGTTCCATGTAGACAATATTCATTGTGATATTTACTCATTCTGCACTATATTTCAGTTAAATTTCAGGGAAATTATGGATTTAGGAAAGTGAAGTAAAATCCTTTAATTGGTCTTGCTTTTTGTCTGTTGGATACTTAAGAGTTTCCTCAAGAGACTGATTTTTGAACTTTAAATAACTATAAAAATTGCTGTATTTTCTATACTGAGTAGACATTTTTTGATCGAGTTCTATTTAGAAGTATGTCTGTATTTGACTTGTACACTTCTGAGCCTGCTTCAGGAGTCAGTCAAATCATGGAGTGTGCAGAGACCAAAACAATAAATTCATTCATTTATTTCTGCCAGTTCCAGCAAAAATCAGCAAGTTGTCAAATTATTCTGATTTAAATATCAGTTGCTGTCAGATTATCACAAGTTAGAAAAGAATTAACTTATACAACACAGTGCCCATAAAATTTTCTTGCAAAACAATTTGTATAATGCATATTAGTATAACCTAATTTATGCCAACTGGAGTCAATTCCAGTACAGATTACTAGAAAATAACATCACTTTGATTAGCAGTTAGTTACCACAGAGAACTACAATCCTGCAATGAGTAGTGTGAATTATCCTAAGAAAATGGGTTGAGTGGTGAAGGAGTTACTTAGTATACAAGGAAATGTACACATATGCCTTAATATCATTCCTTAGCATATTGATCCTAACAATTGTAAAGACAAAGTAATGACGAATTACTTAAGTAATTACAATTGTGGCATAAAATAATTAAGAGCAAGGACTCATGCAAATACATACTATATATATATATATATTTTACTATATAGATAGATAGATAGATAGAGATATATCTTCACTGGTCGAATTACTCCCTTGTATATAGATATATGCTATTCTCCAGAAACCATGGAGTTCGGGGGTTAGGGACCCATATAAGTGCGCAATAAAGATTATTCACAACGTTATAAAGGCTAAAGAATCTACAAAATTTAATGGGGGTATGTAGAACAGAGTAACACTTAACAAGGAAGTGAATAGATGTCAGAGGAGAGGTGATATTAAATCAGAACTCTGAATAATTAGTAAGCATCGCTGGCAGTAGCAGATGCTTTGGGGGAGGGGCTACGATTATGATATTTTAAGTGGAAAATGCTCACCCCCTCAAAAAAGTAGGTCAATACTAACCATGTCTGTGCCACATAAACCTAGCCCCTCCCAAGTCATAGATGATTAAAATATGGACAATGCTTATGCCCCATTAGGTCCATCAGATTCTCTCTCAGAGCTGCAGGACAAAGTCTGGCCAAACTCTGTGGGTGCTGAGAATCGTCACATATGCAAGGAGACTGTGCTTAAGAAGTCCGCAGTTTACAGTGTCAAATGGGGAATAGCAAAGGTTGATGACTAGAAAGAGAAGATAGAAGTAGATGCCAAAAAGAGAGGTATAAACAAAAATACTGATGGCTTTCAAATCACAGGCTGAAGGAAATGGGGCATTTTCCAAAGATGGCTGTAACAACAGTTCCCATACGATGTGCTCCTCTTACCACTCCCCCATTAAGAGGTGGAGTTTCTTTACCTCTTTAAACCTAGGTTGGCCCTTTGACTGCCTTGACCAACAGAGGAGGGCAAAAGTAGTATTTTGTCAGTTACGGGAAAAGCCCCTAAGAGGACGAGCAGCTTCGACTTCTACCTTCTTGGAACATTGACTCTTAAGATGTTCCCTCTTGGAACCCATCCGGCATGCTCTGAGAAGCCCAAGCCACATAAAGAAGTGGTGCGTAAGTGATTCGGTGAACCATCCCAAGTGAGCTTTCAGCTACAAAGAACATCAACTCCTAGACATGGCTGAGCCACCCTGGATGTCCAGTCCAGTTGAGTTTACATGCCATGGCAGAGCCAGCCAACAATTGCCTACAATCCCATGAGAGATCCCAAGAGATAATGATAAATTGCTGGTGCAAGTGACCAAAACACAGGCTCTAGTCCATTCCTGAGACAAATTTTATTCTTGCCCTTAGCTTCCATGAGACATCCCTATATACTGATGACAAACTTCTTTCCCTCATTTTTGTTTTTGCTTTAGTTAATTCAATTGTGCTACTTCTGCTTCGCTGTTCTAAGTAGTATACTGGACAAGCAAGGAGATAGAAGTTTTAAAAATAGAAGCATTCCTGATTGAGGGAAAACAAGGTACTCAGATGAGGTAATAAATGGCATGGAGAGTTTGGGAGAACTGAAATAATAGAGAACGAACACACAATGGCAGAAATATAAATGGAAAAAGTATTTAATAACCTCATGTCCCAAATGAAAAAACTCTAATTTTTCAATATGAAGAGAAAGTTTAAAATTTTAAGTTCATCAGAATCACAGATAATAGCTTTACTGCAAATAATTAATCTAATAATTAAGGAAACCTGCAATAAGAGAATGCGATTATAAATTCAGTAATACTTTGAAATGAATTTGAATTTTTCAAATCACTATATACACACATATATAGCTACATATGTGTATACCTTTTTTTTTTCAAAAAAGCAGTGTGCACCTGTACAATTAGTATTTATTTTAATGTACTCTCAAACATTAGAGGTCCCTAATGAGGTCCAGGAGAGAGCCATGGAAAACGAGAATTTAAGGGATATGGAGAAGAAAGAAAGCACCAAAGAAAGAAAAGGAAGAGTCCAAGAGAAGGAGAAACAGAACAGCCAGGAAAGATGAAGGGTGCCACTTCAATCAAGTGATGTAAGAGTTTTAAAAATGAGGGAGAAGTCAACAATGTCAATTTTGAGACATGTCAAATGAGGCAAGTTCTAACAAGTGTACATTAGCTGGTCAATGAGCACTGTAACTAGAAGAGAGTCACTGGTAAGAGCAGAACTTATCTTTTCCAAGGATGAAGCTTAAAGACCAGGAAACCCTCATCTAAAAAAGTTCAAATTATTTTTGAAGAATTTTGTCTCTCCACATAACGTAATGTGGTCAATGAGGAACACGTATGAAGGCTATGCAAAAAGAGCCAAGGGATGAGGGAGATATTTTTTTTTAAAAGAAGATAATAGATTAGAAAAACCCAGTGGGAAGCAAGAAGGAATGAAGAGCAAAGACCATTAATCAACAAAAATTACTGACAGAAAGAGAGGTGCTACTTTTTCAGAAGCCCAAGGTAAGAAATAAAGATCATTTTTGATATAGAAAGGCAGAAAGGGCTTCTTACTTGATGCTCTGTGTAAATCAGAACAGAAGACTGTTAAGAGAAATCTGAACTTAAATTTCAGGGCTCTGGGGGCACCTGGGTGACTCAGTTGGTTAAACATCCGACTCTTGATTTTGGCTCAAAACACGGTCTCAGGCTTGTGAGATCAAGCCCCACTGAGCCCAGGCTCAGGCTCCTTGTTCAGCGGGGAGTCTGCTTGAGATTCTTTCCCTCTCTCTCTCTCTGACCCTCCCCCTGCTCGTGTGTGCACACACATGCACACACGTGTGCGCATTTTCTTCTCTCTAAAATAAATAAATAAATATTTAAGTCTCAGGGCTCTGATTTATCACTTGAGCACCAAACCTTTCTGAAGCTCAATTTTCTCATCTCTAAACTGAAGATGATGATGACAAGCCAGTAATGAAGCATTATCAGTAGTCCTGGGAAAATTCTCATGTTTGCAGCAGACAACTACACTGGTTTTGGTAAAAAGATCAGATGTTATAGTGTATGTAAAAATACCTGTTCAAGTTTGCACAAATATTTACTTCCAAATTGTGTCATTATGAATTATTTATTTTTAAGGAAGAGATTCTTTTGGTATCCAGTGAGGAAGAGAGAGAAGAGGGTTGAGAAGGAGTCTAAAGGAAAGTGATGAAAGTCGCATAGTCATTGTGGAAACTGGGGATGGAAATTGATGAGAAAAAAAAAATAAGATACTCAGAGCAGAGTGCCCAAATTATGCATCTGCAACCGTAACTATCTACATGTTTTTGAACCCCTTCATTTGTCTAATACTCAAGCTAAAGGAAAAAAATAATAGAGGAAAAAATGAATTATACACATATTCCTTTAGCCTTTTATACTGAAGGAAATCATCCCCATCATCATCACCACCAAAGCAGACATTTGTGCCAACTTTTATACCAACAATTCACACACATACATTCATTTAACCACCTAATCAAACTAAGATATAAGTTTATCATTCTCATTCACAAATGAGGGTAGAAATGTTGACTTGTCCAAGGTAACATACCCAGGAAGTGGCAAACTCAATGTCTTCTGAACAACTATACTTCCTCTTAAATTATGATTCCAAAATAAATGTGTCTTCCATATGGACATTGGTCAGACAAGATAGAGAGTTCATCTCATTTGTGCATTAATAGTATTTAGTTTATGAATTCAATTCAATAAACAAGTTGGGCATTTACTAGTAAATTCCATACAGTGAGAACAAAACTACTGCCCCTATTCTTAAGGATCTTTTATTCTAGGAAGATAGAACATAGAGATATAAATTAAATTAAAATTAAAAAGCAGAAATACATGTAATATAATAAAAAAAACCCATGCAATATGATAAAAGAGAAGAGGCACAGTCATTTCTACTACAGAATCTGGT